CTCTTGTCTTTTCCGGTCCCTCCTTTCTACGTCTCTTTCTACATCCCAGGCTTACACAGTACATTACACACTCATTCACTCACTCACTCACTCACTCACTCACTCACTCACTCACTCACTCACTCACTCACTTACTCTCTCTTCCAACCACTCCCCTCACCACCACCCACCCCGCGCACACAAACACACACATACACACACACTAACACACACGCACACCTACACACACAACCACACACACAACCACAGCCCTCAGCAGACAGCCGGCACTCACCAGCAGAGTCCTCTGGAAGTTGGACTGCACCAGGCCGAACATGAGCTTGCCCACGATGGTGGCGATGGTGGGCATGATGAGGGCGCCGCACAGCACGCGGGTGGCGGAGATCGGGTCCGTGAGGGTGACCGTGTCAGCGGGGACCCGGGACATCCGAGAGTGCTCTGCGGACACACAAACACAACCATGAACACGGCTGGAAGGAAACAGTTCTCTTTCATTTTAGTAAGAGTTTTACGGCACTTGCAACGCAATTATAACTTCGACACAAATACAACAATGAACACGGCTGTAAGCAGTTTTCTAAAAAGTTTTCGTGAGAGTTTTACGGCACTTGCAACACAATAAGGTCATAATTACGTGCCGCACACACAAACAAAACCACGAATACGGCTGTAAACAGTTTTTTTTAGTTCAAGAAAGAGTTGATTTAATAGAGGTTTCACGGCGCTCGCAACTGCATAAGGTCATATGAGCGGCAAGGGGTGGATGTCAACAGAGAAGTCTTTACAGAGAATCGGGCTTACTTTGCTCATCTCTCTTTCTTCAACAGCACAAAGCCTGTTTTGACTTTCAAAGCACCCCGGAAATAGCGGTTCACAAGAGTGTGACAAACATACAAAAGCAGTGGAGGAAATGACGATAGTAAGGGTTGGGAAAGAAAAAGCAGCAGTTCCCAGTAGTAGTTCAGGCACAGTTATGAACATGACATTGCTGAATCAGCCCATTTACAATTCTACTGTGCATAAGAACCAGAAATGACCCGC